CCCATTGAAGTTCTAACTTGATGTATGACTGGATTAACCAGTGCATATTTTGCTTCAATGCTGGAACAATATTGGCAGCTTTCTAGGCAGGGTCTTCTAGAGAGCATGTCAGTGCTTCCATGTTATGATCTCTTCCAAAGAGAGATGGAAAGAGATGTCATATTTCAGAAGCCACCGTATCCACTAAGGCGATCCTACAATGATAATTTGTATATTAGACAGGCTTCATAAGAAAGACCTCTCAACACAGTATCCATGAGTCATTCAAGTGTTGCTGGTATGTTACAGAATCCAAAAGGCATCACCTTGAACTGCCAAAGTGCTTGTCTGGTAGTTAATACCATTTTTATTCCATCATCAGGGTGTATATCTACCTGCCAAAATCCACTCTTTAAATCAAGCATCAAAAACCACTTACCTCCAGAAATGTCATCAATTTTAGGAATAGGGTTGCTGTCTTTGTGATGTTGTTCAACCAGGGATAGTCAATGCAAAACTAGTTGAACCGTCTTTCTTTCTGACCAAGGGGGTGGAAGAGGCCAAAGGACATGCTAAGGGCTTGATAACGTCACTTTTTGGGATGCCCTTTAGAAATTTTGCTATCTCTTCCCGTTTAGCAATGGCTAGTCATCTTGCTTGATTGGTGGATGATATCCCATCTGAATTGTATGTTGAGCCAAACTGATCTGAACTACATCAGAAAATATGCAGGAGAAAACATCTTGAAATTCTTGAATGAAACACTCAGTAGCAGTCCTCTCTTCATTATTTAACTGCAATATTAGGCTCCCGAAACACATAGAAATTGGTGGACTATTGGGTTGTTTAATGCAGAGGGTCACTAGACTACATGCTGCAACCACTTCACATTTCCTAAAGATGTTTGATTTATCACTGACGTTGGCAAATCTGACCAGGATGATGGGCCTTAAAAAGCAGATGAATGCTGAGGCTACTAGTATTCCCTCCTGGGTGTTACAGTTCTTAGGATATCCCATTATGCTATAATGGAAATTCCTCTTTTTTTGATCTATGGATAGAGGAAGTAAAAATTCTATTCATGCTGCTACTGTAACATTATCTTGAGCTATGATTTTGTGGACAAATTTACCTCGTTTATTTTTAATTTCAAACAGAGTTATGTCCTCTGAGGTAGAATGTAGTTTGTTATTTTTAAAGTGAAAGAAATTATTGTACTTCCTCAGAAAGTCTAACCCAAGTATGCAACGATCTGTAATATTTGCCACATATGCTGTGTGGATGGTAGGTGGCACTTCCAAACTCGATATTAATACTTAACTTTCCATCAATGTCAAATTTATAACTGGATACTGCTGGACACGAGCGGGGGGTTGGTTGGCAGTCTCTATGAATGCTGAACATTTGTGATAAAGTCGTAAATTATAAAAAAATGAAAACAAGGGGATGCTAGTCCCATCCATCTGCATCTGCCAGTCTAGAGAACTGAGTCTTTCATACTTGCTGAAAGGTTTTTTTCCACCATATGGAGATTTAGAAGTATCAAAATTGTGTCCAGCTACAGCAACGGATTTCTTTAAACTGTCAACTTTCTTGGCGACAACAGTAGACACTCTGTCATCAATTTGTTGTTACACAGTAGAAGCTTTTCCTTTGTTTTGTTGGTCCACAGTAGCTTTTTCTTTGTTTCGTTGGTGGATAGCAAAAATCCTCCTTTGATTTAATCACTTCAAAGCAGAATCTTTTCCTTGAATTTCTCTATCTATTGTCTTAGTCTTATTATCATGTCTATCTATTGTCTTAATCTTACTATCCTTCAACATTAAATTTATTTTCTATTATGAGAGAAATTTCTCTTTTCATTTCCTGTTGACCTGCTGAATCTTTTCTTGGCCAGCTTTCAACACTTCTTCTTTAGCAGATTCTTGACCCTTCTTTCATTTCTTATTCTCAGCAAAGGCTGTCACCAGCTGTCGTAATTGCTTGTCCTTCAGTCCTGTCACCAGCATTTAACCCCACTTCAGACACCAAAAATTATTACATGCATACATACAGGTTCAGAATGAACTGAATGCACACAGAACCGAAGATAGTTTGATAAAATTTATTTAAAAAAAGAAACACTTTACAGTTCTGACACTTTACACAAAACTACTCATACTACTCTTTTTAGTATAACAGCACACAATCAGCAATTGCCACTTCAAACTACTGAATGTTAAACTCAATGCAAAGTGCACCCAAAGAGCAAAGTTTGCACAATGCCTCAATCTTCCAAAGACAGCTTTGAACTAAAAACTGAAAAATTATGTTCTCTCTGGTCTTATATAGTTTACCACCCAGGCTATCAGGAAATCTCTGGTACCTTCCATTTCTCGAAATTACTGGAAGGTATACATGGTTAAAGTTAGATACAAGAGCTGGATACAATTACAATACTAATAATTACAATTATACAGGGATCACCAAAATTTTGCCAAGTTTCTCAATTTCTGGCCAAATTTAGCAACAAAAATTAGTCACCAAAACCATCGCCATCTTGGCAATATCTCATCAATTTAGCCGGATAATTCTTTACCTCAGTGTTAAATAGATTTAGCCCTGTAATCTCATTTTTCTGGCACAGATTCATCATACATTATACAAAAGGTACGACAATTTTACATATAATATAAATAAAATTATTTGCATATATACAAAATTTGTAACATTATGTTAAGTATTATTAAAGACTTACCAATTTCAATAATATTCTTTTTATTTACAAAGTAAACATTTCTATTTATGTATAAATTTTACATTGTTACCATTAAGCAGAAGTTTCTACACTCATATGCTGAAAACAAGTAGGAAGAGAAATATGCGAGTAAGTATGGTTCATTATTCTTTTACACTTCCTTGTAAAAGCAGCTGCTCTGTTTTGTTACCAAAGCTGAAAAATTTAATACCACATCTGGAAAGTTTTTACAAATGTTATTTGTCTCCAGTGGCTCATATGGTGGCAGTTTTAACAAGGATGTACACAGCACAAAAAAAAGGGGGGGTGACAATTCTATATCTCTCGCTCTACAGGGCCAATTGACAAAATTCAAATTGCGTTTTACATGTCTCAAAAGTGTGACTTAGGATATATATTAGATTTAGACACAGCATCATTCTAACATAGGCATTTTGACACAAAATCAGACTTTTTCTGAAATAACATACCAATTTTTTTCCATATTTCAATTCTACGACTCAAATTATGCCTAAATCTAAATTTTGTAAAATTTGGTGGAAAATTTATACAGAAATTCAAAAATTTATCTTGGCATTTTTTTTTTCCCCAAAAGAATAATTTACTTGGCGAACTTCTTAATTTATAGCAACCTATTTTCCTTTTCTTTTTTTCATTGCATTTTTTTCATACTTTCAAATAATTTTAACAAAGTGTGTATTATTGTCTGGTGTTATTATCACTCAAAAAAAAAAAAAAAAAAAAAAACAAAAAAAAAAAAAAAAAAAAAAAAATTCAAAATGCTCCAATATGTAAATTTATGTATATCTTACAAAATTTTGAAATAAAACTCATTTTTTGCAGGTGAGCCTAGAAATAGATTTACTTTAAGATGGTGTTAAAAATTTTATGGGTTATAATACAAATTTTTTTTTTGAAAATTTATAAAAATATTTAAAAATGCACATTTAACAAATAAATCAAAATGTACAAATTATATTTGGATTAAGCCTAAATTTCAAATTCTGGAAAAAGGAATCAAGTAAGTTTAATAAAAAAAGAGAGATTAATAAATATATATGAAATTCAATTAACATTGAGAAGCTAAAACTTTGAGAGATATTTTTTTTAAAAAATACTCGTGCAATTTTTACAAAACTTGGCAGTTTGGCATAATTTGAGTTGTAGAATCGAAATATGGAAAAAAATTGGTATGTTATTTCATAAAAAGTCTGATTTTATGTCAAAACACTTATGTTAGATTAATGCTATATAAAAATCTGATACATATCCTAAGTCGCACTTTCGAGACATGAAAAACGCAAGTTGAATTTCGTCAATTGGCCTAGTAGAATGGGAGATATAGAACTGTCCCTCCCGCCACTTTTTTCTGGCGCAGTGTATCTGTTTCTTTTTTCTTGCAACATATACAGCAACAGTGAAAAACGATTATGTATAAAATTTATAATTCCAAGAACATAAAGGAAATATGATTGTTAGTTTCGTGAAAATCTCCGTTTAAACACCCCAAATACTAAGTCACTCGTAATTTTATATATTTTATGTGCTATTTATAATCCCCCATCCAGTTTTATTCATTTGGAAAAGGAGATATGTTTTGAAGGATAACACTATCTAAATTACCGAAATTCTCAAAGATAAAATAGTTCGGACATTTTTAACATACTATGTTTTCAAAATTAAGATTTCAAGATAAGAAAAAAATACTAATAAATCAGAAATTACTTAATTGTAGTCATATTCTCCATCACTATTTTTCCACCATATATTTACAAGTAATAATTATATTTGTTTTGTCTTTATTCTATGATAATTTTAATTTCATTTTTTTAAAAAATCATCTTTTTTCACAACTTAACACCTTTGCTATTTAAACATACGACAGTCACCAATTTGCAATTACTGTACTAGTTTAACATGAAAATATACAAACATGGCAAAATTTAATCTTGTCCGGCATCCATTCATGGAAAAGATAGTATACTACAGAGAAAGAAAAATTCTGCTTATTTTTAAAATACTCATTGAAAAGGGTTTTGACAGAAGTAAATAAATAATTAAATAAATTAAAATAACAAATATGACCCTGAGCGCAACTTAATTAGATGAAGAAATTTTATGATTATTAAATTAAATCTTCATTAAATGATTACAAGCAGGATAAATACTTAAATTAAGAAAGTTATAAAATAAATTATATTTAATTATATACTACATTTAAAAGGAAATCTACAAATAAAAACTCAGCTGCAAGGAATTATTTTTTGATATTCACTGTACATACCTTTACTATGCTGCATGCTTGAAATCATTTTCTGATATTCAGGATCAGTTACTACTTCTTTTACTTCTTTAGAAGCAAGCTTCGATAAAAGTTCACTTTCTGAGTGGAAAGTTGAATGGGACTTCTTTAAATCTATTTCATTTTGAGAAGCATCTTGTTCTGTTGATAATTTTCCTTCAACTTCCATCTATTTAAAGTAAGTTATTAAATGAGAAATTAAGTTGAAATGATTAATACACAAATAAAAGTCTTCTATGGATATGAAAAAATTATAACATTTCATTTAATGTTGCAAAATATATATAATATTCCCTGTTTGAATACGTAGCAGAAGACCCAAAATCCACCAATCTAAAATCAAAACAGTCACTCATACAAATCATTAAATTAAAAATTAGTAGCATCAGAAATAAAAAAAAAAAAAAAAAAAAAAAAAAAAAAAAAAAAAATTAAATTTAAATTCCAAGGTACATAGCAAATGATGTCACAGCAAAGGCAAATAAATATTAATCATAGAATAATATTTCCCCCTATTTAAAAGATAAAGAAGGAGAAAACAATTATGAAATGTAGAAACTGAGTGAATTATTGTAAAATACTATGTCACATGACTTCAGTAAAAAGAGTACTTTTAATTAATCAAGACTGTTACAGTTTGAAATTTTAATATTTATTACGTACTGAACAAAAAACAGTACTTTTTTCTCATTATAGAATGGCAAGTTTTAAATCACTCATTAATCTTTTTTATGAGCCATGTTTCAAAAACATGACAAACCAAAAAAGGGGGAGAGGAAAGTAATGGTTAAAGGGGGGAAAATTGAAAACTGAACATTGACACAACTTTTTGTTTTATAGCGTCAATTTAAAATATCACAGTACTTTTTGACCTGGTTTCAAAAATTTGTACTATTACGGAATTTTTAAGGAGCTGGTTACTTTTTGCTTTCCCATTGTCTATATTAAGTAAATAGAAACAGTTATGCATATAATTCTTTTTGTTGTTCAGAGGCCGATATTTAGAGTAAAGAAGCCATCGATTTAGGACAACACACTTTATTTACACGTATAATGAATAAAAGGATCACACAGGAAATCGTATTGACCATCACACAGCAAGTAACATCTCACCATCTCCATACGCTTGAAGCCGAATGACGGATGTGTGTCGGTAGAAGAGACAGCTGCGCCATCATAATTAATACGCATGCGCATAAGAAAAAACGTTCATTCGCCTCTACCCAACACACCCCTCCTGCGAGCAACATTTTTTTATATAACACATTACATTAAGAAATCAAGGAAATTACTTTCAATGTATACATTAATTTTTCTTCACTGACACTCTTAGTAAGAAAATCTGCAATCATATTATCAGTTTGTGAATATTCCAACTTAATAACATTGTCCTTTGTTAAGTCCTTCATAAAATGGAAACGTAAGTTCATGTGTCTGGATTTCGTAGAAGATCTTGCACAGTTGATCCACTGGATGGCAGCTTGACTGTCTGTATTCAAGACCACTGCCCACCATTCAAAAATTGTTTGCATTTAATTCTGATAATAAATTTACAGTCCAAATAATATCCTTACAAATTCAGAAATAGAAAAATAATTCTGCTTCACAAGTAGACAGACTAACACTTCTCTGCTTACGATATTTCCAAGAAATCAATGAATCACCTAGTAAAATAGTACCACCAGAAAATCACTTACCATTTTCTGCATTTCCTCAGCTAGCATCAGCATATGCATTTAAAACTCCAAAAATCATTGCTATAGAAAAGTTTTTTTTTATTTTTTGTACCTTTTAAATACCTTAATACCCTTTTAGCCAAAGATAATGCCTTTTTTCTGGTACATGATTAAATTGTGACAAATAAGTTGTTACAATGATATATCAGGACGCGTTCTATTCGCTAAATATAAAAGTTCCCCAATTAATTCCTGATACAAAATTGCTTCAATTTTTTCATTTGTACATGAAAAACCTTTATCTGCCCCTTTTAAACGATTGGCGTTTTTACTTGCTTTAGAATTTTGCAGATTGTGTTTAGTCAATAAAGATTCAATATATTCTGTTTGAGACAAACATATACCATTTTCAAGTTTTTCTATTTGCATTCCTAAAAAATTTGAATTAGTATTTTCATGTAACTCAAATACATTTTTTATTTTAGAAACAATAGAAACAATATTTTCAAGAATTTCTTTATTATTACAGAATACAGCTAAATCATCAACATACAAACACGATATAAATATGTTTTTTGGTATCATTATAAATGAATATACAATTATCAGATGCTAAACTGTACCAGCCCAAGTTTTTTTCTAATTCATTTTTTATTTTCATATACCAATTTCTACGGGACTGAGGCAACCCATAATACTTTTACTTTTCTTCAATTTACATACTTTACCTTCTCCAATCAGTTTTTCATAACCAGGTGGAGGAGTCATATACACATCCTCATTTAAGTCACTGTACAAGTATCGTACGCTGTTTTTTACATCATAAAATTTAACAGTCAAGTTTAATTTAGCTGAAAGTGCAAGTGCAAGCAATAATCTAAAACATTCAATGTTAACTACTGGTGAATATGATTCGGTATAATCCTTATTTTTTTATTTGATTAAACCCAGCCGCTACTAATCGCGCTTTATATTTTACTTCCCCAGAGTCTCCTTCCTTCAAAGTATATACCCACTTACTTTTTACTAATTTTGTTTTTTCAGGCCTCTCTACTATTTCCCACACTTCGTGTTTTGTTTATGTAATGAATCTATTTCATTTTCCATTGCGGATTTCCAGTCATACCAACTAGCACTTTGTTTTTCTTCTGAAAAATCATTCTGAACATTACTGATTATACTTGACGCTAGTTGTTTTGATTTGAGCCTCTCCGATCCTCTTAATAGTATTTCATTTTCATATTTATTACTTTTTTCATAGCTATCAGATGTTTGGACTTCATTCCCCCTGTCATCACCCCCGCTACAACGGCTTACGTCGGCGATTTCGAAATTCGATGAGTCATCATATTCGCTTGTTTGAGTATTTTCCGTAACAACCAATTCGAGGTGTGGTTTTTGATCTGCTTCGTTTCCCCTTCCTTTTAATTCTTTTTCTCCCCAAGTTTCTAAAGTTTTATTTTTCCTCATATAATTACTACCTTTTAAAGATTCGTTAAATTTAACTGATCGTTCTTCAATTATTTTTTTATTACTTGCTATATCATACATACGATATCCTTTTCTTTCTCTAGCATATCCTAATATTATCCCTCTTTTCCCTGGTATGTCAAATTTGTTTCGCATCACTTTCGGAATGTGAAAGTATGCCACACATCCAAACCTTTTTAGATAGTTTAATTTGGGTTTTTTACCAGTCCAAATTTCTAAAGGAATTTTTTCTTTTCCTTTCCGAGGTGTTAAATTTGATACTTGAGTACTAAAATTAATTGCTTCTGCCCAGAATTTTACCAGAAGCTCACTCTCATGTAGTAATGTCCTAGCTCTTTCTAAAAGAACTCTGTTTTTCTCCCGTTCAGCTTTCCCATTACTCTCACTGTTATATGGAATTGTTTTGTTCATGAAAAATACCTGAATTAACAAGATAATTATCTAATTGTTGATTTACAAATTCTAAACCATTGTCTGTTCTCAAACATTTAATTCTTTTACCAGTTAAATTTTTCATACTTAGCTTTAAATTTACAAAATGCGCCAAACACTTCACTTTCTGCTTTTAAGAAAATAAGTAAAATTACATTCCAGCAAAATCATCCACTAAAATCATCAACTAAAATATTTAGACCCACCAATTGATTCAGTTTGAACAGGGCCACATAAGATCCGAATGAATTAATTCTAAAATTTCTGAACTCTGATTAATGTCAATATTTGGATGACTTTTTCTAGTTATTTTTACTTATGTCACAAGTTTCACACTTAAAATCACTTACATCATTAATATCAATGTATTCTTTCATTTTTTAAAGCATATATTTTGGATTTAAATGGCACAATCTACTATGCCAAAGCTCATAATTATTACCAGTACAATCATTAGTAATGCAAGATTCAGAATTATAATATGGTTCTAAATTACCTTCAAGCCTACCGTTATTCTTAAATGCTTTAAAAAGTAATTCATTACACCTACTAAAAACTAATACAGAATTATTCCTTGATTCAATTTTACATCCTTTATCCATTAAGGCAGTGAGTGACAATTAGTTATTTCTTAAATCAGGAATATAACTAACATTACTAATAGTTAAATTAATAAAACTAGAATTCTTTGTATTTATAGCTTTTGCTTTAACCGTACCAATACCTTCTGAAAATATTTTTGAATGTTTACCTGCCTGGTAAATTTCCCTCACCTCTGGTGTAATATTCTGAAACCAAAAGAAGTCTTTTGCCATGTGTCCGGTTGCACCACTATCCAGCAACCAAATTTTACCACATTCATCATTTTTTCCACGCGTAAGTTGAAGAGCAAAATCACTTTCTCTTTCATCAGAACGAGATGAAACGTTCACACTCGTAGGTTGCAACTTCTTTCTGTCCTTGTTACCTTTGGATAACTCACATTTTGAATTCTTGTTTCTGTAATAGCAGTCCTTCGCGATGTGACCAGGTCGTCGGCAAATGTAACAATTTCTTGGCTTATAGTTTTTATTCCTTCTTGATATGAACGCCTCTGCGTTGTTTCCATCAGGTCGTTTTTCCATTCGTTGAATTGTGAACGGACTCTTCCTCATGGAGTATTTTGAGTACTTCATCAATTGTTTTTTCACGCTGAGTTTTTACAATTTCCCTAATTCGAGACAATTTTCCACGAAGTCCACGGACTGTGTAAAACACCAGTTCCCGAGGAGATACATCTAGGTCCTAGCGATTGGCACTTAGTTGCTATTCCTGTCGCTCTTGCAATATAATCATTAGCCGACTCATGCAACTTCATTTCTAAATTTTTTAACTCATTTCCAGCATCTATTTTTCGATCTTTGGACTTGTCCCGTAAATGTTGACTTTATTTTTTCCGCAAAGAATTTTTGCATTTCTCTTCTGTGGAGAACTGAAGCGTGCCTGTTGATCCGATAAGTGAAAGTTTTAGTTTTATATATGCTACGGCGTCAGCGTTTTTCTCATTCCACAATCTTTCATCTTTCTCGTCTAAATTTTCTGGTTTTACTGTTTGAAATTACCGAGTCAAGTCTTTTCAGTGATAAGGCAGCTTGTAATTTTCAATGACCAATAAAATAGTTCTCTCCAGTTAATTCGGGAACGTTCCACTTCTCCAGTTTTTGCTTCCACTAAGACACTTTCGGTTTCGACTTGGTATTTTATATCCAATTCTTCTTGACAAAACCACAAAGCTGCTACCATTTGTTGTTCAGAGGCCGATATTTAGAGTAAAGAAGCCATCAATTTAGGACAACACACTTTATTTACACGTATAATGAATAAAAGGATCACACAGGAAATCGTATTGACCATCACACAGCAAGTAACATCTCACCATCTCCATACGCTCGAAGCTCAAATGACGGATGTGTCGGTAGAAGAGACAGCTGCGCCATCATAATTAATACGCATGCGCATAAGAAAAAACGTTCGCTCGCCTCGACTCAACACTTTTAAAGCAAAAATTTTTCACACTTGAAAGGAAAGAATTCAATATTTATTCTGTTAAAGTTTCATGAATCTAGTTGCAACAACAAAGTTTTCTCAATCATTCAGTATTACATTTTAGTTTGTACTTGCCCTGACCTCAATTCATAGATCAACTTTGCAAATTAGAATTCATCACTTTTACTAGCAATAAATTTTTGTTAACTGAAATTACCTTTTCCGGCACTTCATCTCTCAATCGAGCTAAACGAGCAGCTATTTCATCTTCTGGCTTAATTAGTTTAGAGTCTATTTGAACTTCTTCCGTTACTTGCATCATAAGATCATCAGCTTGTTCAACAGAGGTTCGTCTGCATGAAGGTCTATAAACCTGCATTTAAAAACATGAATACCAAATTTGCTGAGTGAAAAAGATATAAGAAAGTCTTATAACAAAAAATTAACCAAGTTTCTTATACAGATGATATGTTACACATTTTAAGTACTTTCTGATAATCCACATGCCCAGTTTCAAAAAGTGGCTTTTGGTGTATTTTCTAAAATACACACAAAAATAACGAACTCATGCATGTGCATACATACAATATACATGTTTGAGTGTACATATATTTATATGATTCTTATTTAATCATCATTCCACTGAACAGTATTCACTGACTGTAAATATTGTCCACGTAGATTTTAATTTTATTTCATAAAATTCTTTGCTTCTTAGAAAATTCTTACTTATTATTATTACTTACAAATAGAAAGTACCAATAAACCTAAAAAAACAGGGAAAAAAAAAAAAAGTCTTCTGCCAAGTTACAAAGTTACATTATTATTTAGTTACTTTTTGAAGATAATCAGAAAGTACTCTTTTTCTTAAAATGTCTTACATGGGAACTGTAAAATATTAAAACATATTGTAATAAAATAATGCAAGATGATTATAATTATACAAATTAACAGATTATAATTATATAAATTAACAAAGACTGAACCAGAACTATATAATATGACACATAAGTAATTGCACATACTGATGTTATGAATGTTAACATAAAATCTGATTATAAAAGGAAAATACAAAGGAAATTATTCTATTTATAGTAAAAATTTCATAACATGACAAAAATACATTTGTATTTACAGAACAGATTACAAAATTTAATACACTGGAGTAAAAAATTGAAGATTTGTTGGAAAAGCTAAACTGGACAGTTTTAATTTAATATACAAAACTTAAAATTGCATAAGTCTGAAATGCTTTATGAAATCAGAAATTAAAAAATTCCAACATACTTATAATATTGCTTTTAGATATTCAGAATGATTTAAGAGAGACAGGATAACTATATAATTTTAGAAAATTCAATCCACAAGCCACAACCACAGTTTATAGCCCTAAAAGCAAGGGAAAACTGGTAGATGAAAACAAGTCTGCCATTTGCATAAGGTTACACATGAAAAAGATTAATTGCACATACTAGGCTACAAAAAATAACTGTTTGTGAAAAAAAAAAGTTGGGATTTGCATTCCTTTCATTTAAAAAAAAAAAAAAAAAAAAAAAAAAAAAAAAGGGTGTGCACATCTGATGCATCAGAACCTAAATCCTGTAAACTGAAGTGGAATTATTTTCAAGGGTGTATCTAGATTTTGTTCAAAAGATATTCTATATACAGTACAAAGTCCGTAATCCGGACTCGTTGGGACTTCGGCGATTCCGGATTAGGGTTTTTTCAGATCATCAATTTAAACCTGGTAAGATGATGATGCAGAAATTTTATGATTAAAAATATAAAACCGCAATTTATGAAATAAAGAGCAATTATGATCTAAAGAGTATATATAAATAAAAAAAAAAGCTTAATACTTATTTCTTTAATTTATTAAACATATCTTTCAATGTAAGTTGTTTAAGTTGCTTTGTTTTTGTGCTAATACTTTCTCTTTAATTCTCTCTTCTATAAACAGACATAATTTCTTGTTCAGTACAAAGTTCTACTGTTCAAATCCTGTAATTGCTGTGTCGAGAATACCCACTAACTTGTTAATCGAAATTTTTTCATTTTCAATAACATCTGTCACTTTCTTCACTATCGGAAGCGTGCATGTATAAACGCTTTACGTGCATTAAATGCTTTATGTGCATGCGCAAGTTTGTGGCTTTGAGGTCCGGATCATAGACCATTCCGGATTATGAACGTCCGGATTACGGACTTTGTATTGTATATATTTACTCAAAGAGAACCTTTAAAGGTGAAAGAACTCTAGTTCAAAATAGAATAAAGCATATCTACCAATGTTTACAATTTAAAAAAAACTTTTATAATTTTTACAATTTTGCGCACAAAATAATTGAGCCAGACTGAAAATCTGTAGCAAAATGTGTGTTTAAAGTGTATACTTATGTCAGACATTTCGGTTATTTTTTAATTCATCCTCTCTATTGCATCAAAAACGAATTCTTTGTTTTTTGAAACAAGAACTTTTATGTATTTCTAAATTTAGCAATTTATACATACTTTGGAAATTTTGAGATTTGTTTTTCCTTGAATATTTTGATAGATAGTTTGTGTAAAGAAACTAAGGAATATCAACACACAATGTATGCATTTTTACTATTTTCTCAGAATCAAACCTTAAAAAGAATCTTCTCAAACCTTCTAAAACATCACCCATTTCTTATAAAAATAATTTGTACCTGTATTGGAGGTGCTTTATATTTAGATGGATCCATTCCTTTTAATTTTGCTAACCTTTCTTCAATTTCCATCTCACTTGGTAAGTCATCTAGCAAATGGAAATAAATAAATAAAAATATTTTTGAGTGTCTTGAAAACCTAACTTAATGCATGTATGTCTTTCATATATTCAAAACTAGAAGCGCTGAATTTTATATTAATAAATGCAGACATATAAAATTTTGAAATTATCTTTAAATTTTAAGTACCCTATATTAAATTATAGTTTAACTTTTATTCACTTCAAAGCATAATTTTATAAATTTAGTGGATAGTTTCTTTTTCCACTCCAAAAATACAGAATTCTGATAATCCCACAATTCAGTTTGTGTGGATTATTAAGATTTAAATTTCCCAAGTTTTGCTTACACAGTTCTTTTTCTAATTTTTACATTAAACCTAGATTATTTGAGCATAAACAACTTCTAAAAACATACATACTGACAAGCCAAGACATTATGACCATCCCCACATTTTTCAATGAACTCATCTAGATGACACGGAAGGCATGTGATTAAGTGGTATTGGTATTTAACTGCTCCTGGAGAAGGTAAGGAATCATTCTTGCACTTACTTTTGCAAGTGATGAGAAAGGCTATTGATCTAAGCAAATTTGATAGATGGTAGATTGCAACGAAGACATGAAATGAGTATCTCAGAAATTGCATGACTGGTAGATTGTCCTTGATTTGCTGTTGTTAGTATTTATGCAACATGGATAAATGATGGCAAAATCAGCAGTAGATGCCAAGGTGTTAGACATCTACACATCATCAAAGAAAAAGGACATCGGAGACTGTCTCACTTGGTATACAGTAAAATCAACGCTAGGCAGTAGGCTCAGCTGATAGTCCTACAATGAAGGTCCAAGTGCAAGTGTTTCGGAACACACAGTTCAGTGGACAGCATTGGATACAGGACTGTGCCAAAAAGTGCCTCTGTTGACCTAGTGTCATAGTCAACTACCCCTAAACAGAGGGTTAGGAAAACCAATAGTTATGCAAGATCTTGTGCTTAACTTTCCAGCACGTGCATTTAGCAATTTTACATGAGCACGTGTGCATCGTATTTTTTTACGACATCCATTATTTTACCGTTTTCGACACGAAAAATGACAAAAATGAGTGAATATTGATAATAAATTTGTTAAGAAATAAAATATTAATCTTATTATTGCAAAATGCAAATGATATCACATTCAAATATAAGTAAATTATTTTGAAGTTCTTATGTTAGTGAGATGGAAATGCAATGATGTATTCATTATAGAAAATTTTAAATTTATTATTTAAAAATTATATTTTAAAATTGAAGCTAATTTTAATATTCATCAAAAGCAAGTATAGACAATAAAAAAGGAACACACCTTGGTAGGAAAAAAAGTAAGTTTAGCATTACTTAATTGTGCAAGGAAATTTACTTCTTACTGGTTACAAACACACACTTTAAACTAATTTTAACGTTTCTTTTTATTTCTAAAAAATAGAAATAAAAGATAATAAGGAATGGAAATTGCTATTGTTCTCCCATCCAAAGGTTTCCTTGTCTTCATCAGATAATTCTTGAAGAATCCAAGCAAAATCAGCTGGTTGTACATATTTTTTTGCCATGAAAACTGATATAAAATTTACAAAGCCAAATGTATTCAAATTAAAATACATGGCAATTAATAACACAAAATTACAAAATATTTGAGAAAAAAATATTTTCCGAATTTTAAAACACGACCACGTGCATGCCGTAACTTTTATGAAAAAGCTGCCATGTAGCACAAAAGCCCAGTTAAAAAAAAGTCAAATGATTTTCTGATGGCACATTCCATGATGTGGGGAAGGGTAGAAAGGAGAAATAGAATTTACTTTCAGACGTCTCAGCTTCGATATGAGAAAAATGCGCATTAAAAACTGAATTTGTAGTAAATTTTGCACATACGTATGTGCTGGGAGGTTAAAATATATAAACTCTCAGGGCAGCTCTCTCATTGTCCCTGTGAGCTGTTGCTCTGGACTGAAGAGGCTTAACTATGTTAGACATCAGGTGTCTCCTCTCTCTGTCACCAGTCACACCAATGAACTCGGGAACACTGAGATTGGACCATGCATAAGTGGAAGACAGTTGCCTGGTTGGATGAATAATAATTTCTCATTCATCATATCAATGGTTGCGTCAGGGTATGCTGCTGTCTTCCGGGCAAACAGTTACTCGTCCTTGTACAGCAGGTTATACACAGTCTGATGGGGGCGCCATTATGCTTTGGGGGACATTCTCATGGGTGGCTCTGGGACACTTAATTATGGTAGAACATACCATGAAAGCTGCCGACTATCTGAATATAACTGCGGGTCAGTTGCACTCTTACGCAGCATCTGTCTTCCCTCGAAATGGAATCTTTCAGTAGGACAACCCCCCATGTCATTGTGTTGAAGTTGTCTGATGAGCAGAAGGATGAATTTCAATTAATGTCCTGACCACCTAATTTTCTGGATTGTAGTTCAATAGAGCACATTTGGGATGTCATGGAGCAGAAGCTCAGAGCTCAAACACCATCATGTCAGAATATCATGTCTTTGCATGACTGCTGCTTAGACATTTGGTACCTGTCTTTAGTTATCTACCAAGAACTTGTGGCATCTGCGCCACAGCAAGTTACAGCTGTTTTACAGACCAAAGATCGTGCAATACGTTACTGAGTAGATGGTCATAATGTTTTGGCTCTTCAGCGTACATTCTTTATTATTTAATCAAGATGCATTTACTATAAAACATAATTTACACATTAAAAAAAGGGGGGAAGGAAAACCTGAAAGCTTTCAGATTTTATATTATGACCAAAGGGGAGTTTTTTAACATTTTGTGTTTTACCTTTATTGATTAAATATCCCGTTCTTCGCACTTAAACCATAAAATTCAATTCAACAGCAATATCACAAAATAATTTTAAAAGAGCATATCTTTAGAATTTTCGTGCTGGAGATAAATTTTTTTTTTTTTTTTCCGTACGGTGTTGCCTCTGCTCGATTTTGAAATCATTAAGTTTCTTTATCAAAAACTTATAAATGCTTTATGAAATATGAAGTCATTAAGTTTCTTTATCAAAAACTTATAAATGCTTTATGAAATATGAAATAGATAATAAAACAAATTTCAAATTTGGGCTTCCAGATGCCCATATTCAGGTGGAGACGTACTTTATTCAAAACTGGATGGCTCTAGGTAGCATTGTTTTATCACAATGCGAGAAACATACATACATTTATGCAGACTCTTCATTATTTAATTTCTTTAAATATAATACAGGGCTCTAATATTTGGCGGCAACAATTTAAAAAGTGATTCGCTGTTTATAGTGAATCAATGCAAAATGCCAAAATGAAATTACTAGCCCTTCTAGGCAAATTGCCCTATGGGCTAAAAAATTTCAGTAAATGCATATGAAGATAAAGTTTTTTGAAGAAGTAAAAACACATAAAAACTTTTATGTAAATAAGTAGTATATTCACTCCTGAAATATTTCCAGATTAATTTTTACATCCTTCAGCAAGACTTAATAAATACACTGCTTATAAAAGCCACCACTACCAACAATTTCTCTAAATTTGATTCCTGTGCAAATTCTGCCATTACATACCATGCAATGGCAATCAGATTAGCAATACTAAAAAAAGTGCCAGATTTGAAATTTTGGATAACTAAAAGGTTCTTTAGTTTTATCTTCTTCACCAGTTTTTTTCATTTTTCATCCCAGAAAAGTCTTTGTGGGCAGAGTGAGACAAACTGGACATGTAAACAGCATTAGACACCACTAGAAAAGCTGTAGACAAATAATCTTAAAATTAACCAAATAAATTTTCTCATCTTCAAGCGCATGTTCACAAGTAAGTTAGCATTGCATACACTTACTTCTAGAGTAAGATACAAAACCAACAACAACAACAAAAAAAAAAAAAAAAAAAACTCAACTGCAATATAATAACATTGTGGAATTGCAAAAATTTTTTAAATTTCAACATCTGTATAAGATTCTATTGATTACATTAACTAGAATTCTTAATTATGACTAAAAATATTTATATTCAACATACTGCATACCCATTCTCCCCAATAAACATACAGGGGTTGGACAAAAATATGGAAACACTTTTAAAAAAACATGTTTCTTTGCTTAATATGGTGTAGGAAACCCGTTGTCATCCAAAACAGCTTGCAGTCTTCTCGGAATGGATAAATACAGTTCCTGTATGTTTGCCAAGGGAATATTATACCATTCTTCCTGCAAAATGGTGGCAAATTCAGATAACGATGTTGGCGGTGGATAACGAGAACGCACTTTCCGTTCCAATGTAGACCACAAAGGTTCGATAATATTCAGGTCTGGTGACTGTGGTGGCCAGGGGAGATGGGACAACTCATCCTCGTGCTCAGAAAACCAGTCCTGGACAATGTGAGCTGTGTGAACAGGAGCTTTGTCATCTTGGAAGACACCATCACCATCGGGGAACAAAGTTTGTACCATGGGATGAACTTGATTGGCCAAAATGTTCACATAAGTCTTGGCAGTCATGTGCCCTGACACAGTTATCATGGGGCTAGCAGAGAACCACGATATGGCTGCCCAAACCATAACAGAAGCCCCGCCATGTTCACTCTTGGCAACAAGCAGTCTGTATTACAGGCTTGAGATGGCGTTCTCCAGACGTAAACTCGGCCAGAAGTGGGAAACAATGTGAAAGAAGACTCGTCAGACCATATTACTCGCTTCCACTGCTCTGTAGTCCAGGCTTTATGACTTAAACACCACCTTTTCCTGTTACGGGCATTAGCATCACTGATGAGTGGCTTCTCACTTGCAGCACGGCCAGCAATTCCCTGTTTATGAAGCTCCCTTTTAATTCTTTTGGTACTCACAGGGTTCGGTAACACAACATTCATTTCAGCAGTAACTTTTGCAGCTGTGGTCTTCTTATTTTTTCGTCACAATTGCCCTTAATGATCGTCTGTCATGATCACTCAGGACACACTTTCGTCCGCGCTGTGATTTAGCAGATGATGTTTTCGCTTTTCAAATATGCGGAATAAATCTTCGATACAGTACCTCTTGAAACACTAAACACCTCGGCTACCTTGCTTACGGAAGCACCTACCATACGTGCTCCAACAATTTGCCCACGTTCGAAGTCTGTTAACTCTGACATAATGCAATGACAACCTCACATAACAGTACTCCGACAACAACTGAACTGTTTAGCACATTTACGAAGTTGTATAGGTGGTGTCAGTAGTCAAAAACGCCAGCGCCACCTACATATTTCATTAAAATCAATCTTTCTTTTCAAACATGCATTTCACAAGGTGTTTCCATATTTTTGTCCATCCACTGTACATGCATCATAAACAGCACTGCACTAGGACCTTGTATCAGATGGGAGGGAAAAACTAATAATTTATGATACCATGCAATATCACACAATGCATTAAAATTACAGACCTTTTATTCTTTCCCTTTTCAGTTTCTGAAGTCTTTCAGCTATTTCTCTGTCTTTTTCATTGGACCACTGAGATAAAAGTCCAGACATAGCAGTTGCTGAATCAACACTGTAAGACTGTTTTTTGAAAGCTTCCATGCGTCTAATAAAATAAATATTACAATTGCATTTCAATTAGAAAACTTGTTACATAAATCTTTACTTCACCTATAATCCCTATAAGTCATATACACACATAGTAGACACTGCTTAATGGAATCACGGTTAATGGTATGAAATTCCCAAAGTCCTGCCATTTGTATATGAAAACAGGACCGCTTCTTGCGATGAACAGTTTGTTTCATGTTATCAAAGTATTGCAGAATAATTTTTTTAAAATTCAAGTAATGTTAGTGACGAAGTGACGGAGAAATTTCACCAAATACTTTGGTTTCAACTTTAGTCAATCATGTAAAGTTAGACAAAAAAGCAACCTCACTTTGGCATGGAATTTGAATAATATTAATTTTAAGGGTGATTACACACAAGAACCTTCAGAAACACCTCCACCAAAAAAATTACAGAAATCCCCCCCCCTGAAAACATCTATGCCAAACAAAGGTTGTGTTCTTGTCAATTTAAAATTTTGCACTGGCATGTTCTTTTCCAATGAATGAGAAATGCACTCCAACTATTAAGACATAGAAGACATTAAGGACCTATTAAGGACATAGAATATTAAGACATTAAGGATATAGAACTGGCCAAATAGTTTCCAGAAATGTTATGAATGAGTTCATAAATGAGCTTTTGCATTTTTCTAATTAAAATGCTGTGAAAGTATTTATTTACGCTTCTTGTTACATTTATATTAAATTAGTTAAATTCCATTATTATTTTGAAGGCTATTTTTTTCCTTTAATAGTATAATTTGATTAATGCTATCAAAACAGCCATTCAAACGTGATTACATTAAGCCACACCTAATGTAAATATATACATCTTTTTAAAATACAAAAATTAAAAATTCTGATTTTCATGTACATTTATTAATTAAACTATTTTGCTCATCAAAATACATATTAATAGCATATATACAAGTTCTCACTCATGATACATATTAATATCATATATATAAGTTCTCATGATATATAAAAAAAAAAATTTCAATTTTCCCTCCCATATCATGCTTTGATAAGAAAGTAAAACAGTCATGTCACCATACATTATTAAATACTTTTTAAAGTCATTTTTAAAACAGTACTGTGTAGCTAATTAAAAGTATATTCAGATTTCAATAACTTTATTGTTAGTATTATTATTACTTAATTATGTAGAATGCCTTTGAACAGACACAAAGCTGATACTAGACTTTTTGCCACCCGATGCAATCCCAATGGCTCCTCATCCACTAAGTACCTCTCTAAATTATAAAAAAACTCTGAAACCTTTGAATCCTACTGCAGAAGCACCAGGTGCACCTGCTGTGGCAGTGACTCTGTAAAGAGACATAAGATCGGTATAAAGCCTCATGTCATCAGTTCATTTCTTCATTCATGAGTTCAAGTGTCATTTCTGTCTACTTTACTCAGCCTGATACTAGAAGAAAGGAGATTTATCTGTTACTCAACTTGGAGACAATATGCAGAAGTACAGGTTTGATGTTCCTGATGCCAAATATGACATAATGCCTAATAATATGAAATCACTGGAAACTTTAGCTAGTTTCTATCAATACAAATGGCCTATTTTGTTCTTGGTTATCAATGCCTGGTAAACAGTCATGATGATACATTCTTGATGACGATACACGGGTGATGGTACATCCGTTGATGGTATATCTCAGTGAGAGCCTGATGTGACTGCACCAAATTCTTATGATTGTTCACACTTTGGACACAAAATGAAAAACTAGACTTGCACAGAAAATGCCCCTAATGAAAACTGTCAAAATTATCCATTTTTCGTTATACACTTTTAAGAAACCCAGTTTTTGTTGATTCATAAATCGTACCTGTTTTGGCATCAATTGCTAGTATAAACTTTATATTACAAAATATTTTGATCATTTAGTTATGAGACTAAAGAAAATTCAATTATAGAAACTCTTAGTAATTCACTTATTACAATTAATACATTATTCTTTTTATTTCCTTGTACAAAGTACAGGAAGTATTGTAAGCATGGAAAACTCCAGGTATCATATTTCAACAAAATATCCATTTTGATGATACTGAATAGAATTTAACAATTTTTTTTTGTGTGACATCTGTATGTAAGGACAAAATAAAGGACTCTTTTTCTCCAAACAAATTATAAAACTGGTTTAAAATGGATTCAGAAGTTTTTTTTTTTTATGGCATCTGTATGTATGTACATATGTACCTCGCATAACTCAAAAACAAGTAGCCCCAGAACGATGAAATTTTGTATATATAGGATTGCTATAACATGTAGCTCTGCACCCCCCTTTCTGGTTGCAATCAGCCACAAAATGCAATATATATATAATAAGAAATTTAGAATCAATTTTTTACAAAGACCAAAAACTGATATTCATTATATACCCACTCTGTTACTTGGCTTGGTGAGCTCAGTTTTTTATTATTCTTATATGTTGACGGTATATCTCATCAACATATAACAATTTTTTGCTTTAAAAATTATTGAATTATGTTCCTATCTTCCGGTTAAGGTTTTTACACCTTTAGTTAATATGCATGCAATAGTTGTAGAATTATCAGTTTTTACATGCAATGTTAAACTTGTTTACGAGCTGCTAAGCCTAATTTTTCTTTTTACCACAGCAGCTCCATTTGTTTACATTTGAAATTTAGCAGAATAGTGAATTAAGTCTTTCTACACCTTCAGTGCCTTTTTGCCAAATGGGACCAAAAGGAAACTTTTAGTTCTGGGCACCGAAAAATCTGCCTTCTTGCCTGCTGGCCAAATTGCTTGTTTTGGAGTAGAAACTGTAATTTTAATTGTAAAATTTTTTTAAACTGTTTTAACTGCATTTAGTGCTTTATATTTTTCAATATCTTCCAATTTTTAATGAAGATATTTTGAGTTTTTATGGACTCTTGTCTTGCCATGAAGTGAGAACTGAATTAATTGAATGAGAAATATATCTCAAATGAAATATGAGGAAATAAGCTTAATATATATATAACTAAGCTTAATATATATAGCTAATATAATATAACGTGCAGGAAAAAATACATATAATTTAATATTCCATACATGGAAATCATGTGGTGTGCAAATGAGATTTTTTTGTTCTGAGAAAGTGAATACACATATATGTAATTTTCAAGGGATGACGAGTGTAAGCGATTTCTGACTATAACATGAGCAAAGTTATGTTTTTTGTAAGTTCGCTAACAGACTATTAATTTGAAAATTATGACTCATACCAAATTCACCAAACAAAAGATTACAATAAGTAAGTACAAAAGTACAAATGATTTGCCATTTTTATATTAAACAACTGATACAAATGAATAAATATGCATGCTAACTTCTTCAAGACCTAAATTCATACTTTTTTTTAACAAAATATATTTATTACATAAAAAAAAAATTTCAATAACATATTGCCATGAATTCTGATGCATATTGGCTAGCAAAGCTTTTTTTAATGGATCTATATAATTCTTTATCACACCTCTTTATTTCAGTGATATTTTCCTCTAGAATGTGTTTAATAAAGGCAGCATTTGAGAAATTATTAATACCATTATCACTAAATATTTGCAGCATATATAATTCTATAAAAAGCAAATTCTCAAATATGAAACCATTTCTCTTTTATTTTACTGGATGAAACAAGCTGTTTCATCCAGTAAAATGCACAAATACCAAGCCTCATGGCAAACAGATTGATTCCAATTAATTATACAAACAAAAATATGATAAAACAGACATATTTGTAATTTTTTAATCGTATGTTTATAAGGAAAAAATTTAAGGTCCAAAGAAAATTTTTCTTGAAAATTTAATTGAACCAGAGACAAAAATGTGTTTGGTGATGGCTCATAAATGTATAGAAGATTTCCAAAATACATCTGTTAAAAGACTAAAAGCAGGAATCTTTAATGGAGAGTAAACCTCTTTTCTACAGATTATTCCATCATTTCTTATTTGTGAAAGCCATATCCAAAAATGTAGAGGGGAATCTTAAAATTATAAAGCTGTATGATAATCAGTACATACTTGGAGGCCTAAATGCAATTACTGAATGATAGCGTTAGTTTTCAAGTGATTATTACTATAGCTGTATGAAGGTCACCAGTAATATAAGGTGCAGATTAAAACATGAACACCAAAAGTTTGTGTGTCTGAGCCTCATGGCCAAATAAGCACAATTAAAGTATTATCATCAGCATATTACCATGGCAAGATAATCCACAGTTTTCTGTAGAGGAAATTTAAGATGTGGCTTAAAATTGATGATAAATGTGTGTTAGTTTTCCCAGAATAAAGAACATGGAAATAGTCCATGAATCCACTTCTTTTAGTTGTAGTATTATATGATCATTATGTGACATTCTTTCATTCAGATACCATTTGGAACTTCATAAATTCACAGACAATATTATGATGACAGAAAGATAATGGGATCAAGTTTTGAAATCTGTTATGAGACTTTACATTTCAGTAACTAATCTAGATTTTTTTTTTTTTTTTTGATAGAAAATATTGCTAATCCATTCGCAAATGCCAGATATAAGTTTTGGAAGGGTGCATTAACACCAGAGTTGCTGAACAAATGTAGCAGCAAACACATTCACCTGATTTCAAGCCCTTCAAAAATCTTCAGAATGTCATCAGAACAGAAAGAAGTCTTTTCTGATCTATTCCATTCCTATAAGGAGAAAGCTGCTTTTATGTAATCATGGAAGTTAACTGCTTCAGACTGAAGGGGTCAATAATTTATGTGAGCTTGATAGGAAATTCAATGTACTGAGTGAAATAAACATTTAAGGGTTAATTACTAAATATATGAATTTTTATTTTATTCTACACAGTGTTTATGAATAAATAAACTATTTTTCTGTGAGAAACAGATTTGACTAAAATAGAATTGGAATGTATTTAATTTATTGTTTCCTGCTTAGCTTTAAATATGCAGGGCTGAAGTAAATTTTTATACCAAAAGTTAAACATCTGTAACTTCTTTTAAATATATTCATATATTTATATAAAAAATAAAGAACACACTAAAAAGTTAGGAATGGCATATCAAATGCACTACAATTTCTACTTCATGAAAATGTTTTTTCCTTTTCATTCATGAATATTAGCAAACATATAAGAAATATAAACACGTGATCTCAAATAATTGCCAAATAAGCACAAATAAGAACAATATCAGCTGTGCAAATCTCTTCATCCAAAATTTTTTTTAAAAATCTGTATTCGATTTATGGGTCAACTTTAGTTTATTTTCACATGAAAGCAGACCACAGCGCTTATGAGAATCTAAGTAAATAAGAAATTTTTTTTAAATAGTTATTGATGAAAATGAACAGAAATTTAAACTAATAAGGTTCAGAATATTGCAAGTTCATTACTTTATTATAGTCTGTTACTTTAAAATAGGCGCTTTAAGGTCCTAGTGACCCTCCTCTCATTTATGGTCATAACGTATATCATCATCACTGCACACAAGCAATCAGGAAATTTTAGCAAATGAGATAATTCAGCTTTCTTCAACAGCAGTCATTGCCATGGTTATGAGTCATACTTTGAGGAAAACAAATGGCCTTGAAATGCCTATTCTAAAACAACAAACTATAGCACATCAATATTTTGCATAAGATTAATTTGAAATCAATTACTTAAAAATCATACGAAGATTTTTTAGTTGTATGTTTAGATATATAGAAAGAAATGCAAAAATACGTTAGCTGACAACAATATTAAAAAATCACTATAATAATTATTGTTAAAAAGTAATACTTGCAACTTGAAACTTTGATTAGAAATGAAAATTATGCCATGGCTCTAGATCAGTGATTCTCAATTGGTGGTATGCAAGGAAATAAAGTGTTTTTAACTTTTAAATTCACATATTAAACACCCCAAAATCCTGTTTAAGTTTTTTCTCTAACACTCGCAAATTTATGCGATCTAAGCTTTCTACAGGGACAAGAGCCATTCATAGACTTTAGCAAAATAATTAGTTTTTATTTTCACAAATATTCTTTTAGCCATAGACACAAAATTTTGTCTTAAATGATGTTTTTAAAAGGAGTAATAGAAAAGGATGTTGTATTTTAATAGGAAATAAATATAAGTTCCTATAAAAAGTAATCGTATCGCATTAATTCATTTAGAGTTGATCGATTCATTAGCATGTCTACATTTCATCTTGCCACCATTTCTGGGATCATATCTCTCTATTTTCAATTATAATAATTTTCTATGTCGATTTGCTGTCTTTAAAAGTAGGTATTTTGTCTTCTTGTTGCTTTGTATTCCTTACTTTTCTATGGGATTTGAGAATATCGTCGTTAGTTTTTGAAGAACTCGTAATATATTCTGCACTTCCATATTTGTGAAAAATAATAAAACAAATTTAGATTTTCAAAATGGAAAAATGGCTAGTATTGACTAACGGAAAAGTGATGGATCTAAGACAATCTACTAGCACTAAGAATATTGGGGAAAAAAAGAAAAAAAACTGTTTAAAAAATAATGAAAGTTTGGGCTTACTTGGAATGGAGATGAAATTGACCCTCAGGGCTCAGTGTGTTGTTTGCAGTAAACTATTATTCAATCAAAGTATCAAACCACCATTTCTTAAGAGACATCTTAAATCTAAGGATGCCAATTTAAGGGATAAATCTGAAGAACATTTTAAGGGGAAATTATCGAAGTTCAAAATAAGTAAATAAGTAATGAGTGGTTTTTGTTACTTCAAGCGAAAAGGCTTTGGAAGCTAGTTACCTAGTAAGCCTAAGAATTACTAAGACTGGGCAGGATCACACTATTGGAGAAAACCTTAAATTACCAGCAGCTAAAGATATTTTAACATTATTCAACAAAAAAGCTGTTAAACTAATAATATTCCATTATCAAATAATACAGTAAGAGAGACACATATTCAAAAAATAAAACTCAGTTAGTATTTTGCATTGTAATTGGATAAAAGTACTGATATTATGCATTTTGTTCAATTATTAGTTTACATACGTTTCAAAGAAGAAAAACAAACTGCCAAAAAGTATTTATTTTGTGATGTTCATGATTAAGCAATTGCAAATTAAACTTTTAAAGTAATTGACAATTTTATGGCTGAGAGTGCTAATCCTTGGAAACACAATCCTCAAAAAACTTAAAATTGTTTTGAATCAAGCTGTGAGAACTGTTAATTTTATTAAAAGCTGAGCTTTTAATAGGGCAGTTAACATGAAAATCTTTTGTTATATTCCTAAGTAAGGTGGTTATCCAGCGGCAAAATTTTAAATCATCCCTTTGAACTTCGATCAGAAATTCAAATTTTCCTCAGAGATTCAAAATTTGAATTGCAAAAATGTTTATTTAGTTAATTATGGTAATTTACAGTTCATTTGTAAGTTTCCAACTAAAATATTTATGCATATTTCAGACTTGCATAATAAATTACTTGTGTTGTGAATTGATGAAAATTATTTGTTTGGCTTAACAGCACATAGATACTGCTCCATTCATAAATAATAATAAAAAGAAGCATTTCATATGATGGGAGAAACTTTATGCAGGGAAAAGTCTATATAACAGATATATACATCTTTATGGCTGGTTGACACTTTTCAAATGAATGATGGTTAAATATCATGCGAGTAAATTCAGATGTACTGAAACATGAATAAGGAAGTATTATATATGAGTGGGTAAATATGGCAACATGAGACAGCTAAAAATACAACAATTTTGCTGCATGTTGAAACTAAAAATTGCAGATAATCAGAAAGCACTCCATTTTTTAAAAATTATTATTCATGAACAGAACAGTATCTATGAGCCATAAAAATAGCCAAACATTTTTTGACAATACATAAAGTCACTAATGAATTGGTAACATTTGTGGGGTTGCAGCAATATAAAAAAAATATCTAAAACTCATATATAACTACACACTATTTAATAAAAATAAAAAACTAAAACTTGCCAAGAGCTATTATACAAACAAAATACACTAATTTTATTCCTTTGTTATTGTACTCACTTTTTATGTGCTAGTGGTGGACTCGTTTCTTGAATGCTTGGTTTATTACTGGTAAAAGAAAAAATAATTTTCAGTTTAAAATTTTTCCATCACAGAACTAAAATGCTGAAAAATTGTAAGATAAACAAACACATATTCTACTTTATGAAACAGCAGGTAATTCCAATACAGCAATCATTCCCCATCAAAAGAGGCACTTGATAAATTTTTTCATTTAATCAGAAGTTAGACTCATGATAATTTTATCTCTGAATAGTATTGTTGTATCTCTTTTGTGAATGATATAGTTTTTTTTAAAGAACCTAAGCTTTATTTCAAACACAAAATAAAATTTTTAAGGAGTAAATACTTTACTCCTATACATTATGGTTTTTCACTACAGTCAAAGCAGATATGGAAATTGCTTATCATACATTTGCAGCAGTTCAGCCTCTATTGAATATGCACACGGTAACTCCCAGTATGTTGATTTGTACTGAAGTAATTTAAACTAGATTTGTACTGAAGTAAATTTATAAGTGCTGAGTTCACAAAGACTACGACTATTATGTAGCTACGTTAAATATCATAAGGGATTTTTACTTGCCAGAATGACTGACACAAGTTTGCTGAATTAATTTATCAGATAATCAAAAAGTTCTTATTAATACACTTTTATATGTTGCATCAGTTATTTTTATCTGTCAATTACATAACTAAATAAAAAATGGTCTGTGATTATTTAACTAAATGCAGAGCAAGCTGTTCCTTTAAAATCCTGTTGAATAACTAACGCAAGTTCGATGAGATCTCCACCAACTTTCACGGCTGATAGGTAATATAATAGTATAACACATCAATGACTAGAATTATTAATACGTATTGATGTGTTATACTATTGTTTTCTGAATTTAAATTGGAAGAATTGCTTTCTTTAAAAAATTAAGAGGTTTTTTTTTTTTTTTTTTCTTTTGTCTGTTTCTTTCTACACTAATGGCAATATTTTGTTTACATTTTACTCCACAAAACTAAGTGAAGCCATTTGGCAACATTTCATGCTTGACAAAAAATGAGTTTTGGTGTTATATTTAATAGAAAAGTAGCAAACATTTGAGTTTAATAAGAATGATAATCAGTATTTATTGTATGCATAAAATGTAATACAGCAATTTTAAAGACATGAAATAAATTATTAATCTGTATTTTCTGTTAGGCTATTATGTATTTTATACTGAATTTAGTGCTAAAAGAAGTTAAAAAGAAACACAAATTTAGTTTTTGTAAAATTAAATTTACAAGACTTCTGTGAATATTAACTAAAAAGACAAAAATTATTTAGTAAACAGATGTCAGTTCATTATTAATGTCAGAAATATTTAAACACCTAAGACATGGGATCCGCATTTTTTTTGGGGGGGGGTCATGCTTTCCTACTGCTAATAATAAAACTTCTTGCACCCCTTCCCTAATAATAATATTATTTACCTATAAGGGTAGTAAGAATAAAAAACATAATTTATAAAGGTTTTATAATAGAGATTATAAAATGTATCTCCTTATCTATATATAGTTAAGGAAAAGGAAAAAACAGATAAATTAATGGGATCTCCTTAATTATATATAGTTTAAGGGGAAAAAACAGTTAAATTAATAAGACAGATGTGCTTGCATATTTTTTGACAAGAAATTCAATTTTTTGCTAAATAGAAGAAAGTGTACAACATAAATGACTAGCAATATTGAGTTTGCTTCTACACTTGTAGAGTCATTAGGATTTTTTGAAACAGAAGCACATGAAACATGAGCAATGTTCTCACTGGGATACAAACCTGGACCTCTCAATTATATGTGCTGAGAGTGTGCTACCGTTACACCATGAAGACATCCTGGAAAGAGGGAGAAAACTCCCCCTTTTGAAGGACAACTTGGGATGAGGGGACCCAATCGTCAAATTCTGGTGGTGACAAATTGTCGTCCACCACCTTTTAGTTTGAGCGCCACTGTAAGAGTCATTAGAAATTTTTGATGCAGGAGATGTGAAAAACGAGCATTACCTTTGTCTGGACCTCTTGAATATGCGTTGTGTTATCGTTACACCATGAAGGCATGCTGGAAGGAGGGAGAAAATACCTTGTAAACTTATTATTATTTATTGCTAGAACTGTTGAAAATGCTCTTTTGCACAAATAAGTGCTTGGAAACGGTAAGTAGAATTGTAGTGCTTGCCCTGTTATGCTGGAATAAATTTTGAGATATTTTCCCCAAATAATTGCTTATCCATCTTCTCAAAGTCATATTTGGCTGCAGAACCATTTTTAATTTCTAAAGCTTACTCCTATAGTGTTTCTGATAGCACATCTATACAACCTGAAAAGGATCCATCACCATTTTATTAATATTTTTATTACATGAGTTAGGGAAGTAATGTTTGAATTCACCAGTGAGGTACTGGAAATGATTTGATATTTTATTTTTAGTATCAGTATACTTAAATACCTCCTTAAAGTGCCCTTCCAGGATTCCAAATTATTTGGGAAAGCAGGCTAAAGTTTTACATTCTCAAAGTGTCAACCTATCAGTATATGCTGGGATGGCATCCCAATGATAAATTACGTTAGAATCTCCACCTTGTAATTTCAAGTTCAATGAATTGAAAATATCTGATAGATGAGCCAATACATCTTTAACACCTAGTTTCAGAATTTCACACATAATTCAGTTTGATTATGAATTTCCCAAAACTGAACCACTTCATCTCAAAGTTCAGATAAACTTGCTAACACATTTCCTTTCGAGAGCCAATATAAATTCATATGAAACAACAGTATTTTATGTTCTGGTAAAAAATCTTCACAAAAGGCCGTATAAAGCTTAATATTTGAACCACTCTTTTTAACATGATTGACAATTTTGATGCTTAATTTTAAGACATCATTGAGTTCATTTGGAAGTGTCTTAGCTGCCAAGGGTTTAGATTTTCTAAAGTATTTTCAAATTCACAAAATCACAGCCACTTTGATGAAGACTGTAAATAGCCCTGTGTAATAAACACACTTTATTTTTCTCTTCAATATATTCCTCTGGATGGATCATAAGTATTTTCCCATTTATAAAGAGAATATGCGTTTATAAATATAAATATGCGTTTTTTATGTCTAATTGACAAACATACTAGTATTGTGAAAAATATTCTTATGATTGAAAAATTTATTACAGGACTGTATAAACATCATCAAAATCTTCCACCTTTTTTTCTGCCTGAATTCCTTTGCAACTAGACACATTTTCTACCTAACTACTTCATCCTTTTTATTTCTTTTTGCATATAGACCCATTTGTTTCCTAGCATAATTTTCTTTTCTGGCTCCTCAACTAATTTCCAAACCTTCATTTTCTTCCCTCATTGCCTTACCCATTCTTCAGCGTTTACTGATTTCCATGCTTCGTTAAAATTTTGTGGCCAACCAGTGGCCGAGCGCTAAAGTCGCTGAACACTGGTAGTTCGGTCCGAGGTTTGAATCCTGCAAATAGGTTGGCTGCATAGCCGTTTTCGTGATTTTCTCCATGTGTAATGTGTATACGAGCCAGTTTCCCTTAGAAAGTCCTCCACGAAGGCGTCCCTCCCTTTAGGCAGATAGCTCTCGAAGCTTTGCCATAATCACACACACACACTTTAAAATTTTGTGGGATAATAATTTCTATAGAATTTGCCTCTTCACATAAAGAGCTATCCTCCTGTTCTACAAAATTAACTTTTCCAGAGTATTCGTTTTTGCCACTAAAGGCAAACATATTTTTATCAAATTTAATATTTCGAGCCTCACAGCATTTTTCAATGTGATTACCGGTAATAAAACGAGTGTCTGTTTCTTCAACGTAATAATATATATCTGTATGTGTTCCATCTGGACTCTTAACTATTTTTGTTTGCCAGTTTAAGTCTAAAACTTCTTTCGATGCAGGTTTGTATTCTAATGACTTCACTTAATATTGGATCTAAATCTAGTCTCTGTTTTAACACTGAAAATCCTCTTGCACTCTGCATTACTATGGGAAATCATCAGGATGACCAACATTACTCTAAACAGTTTACTGTAATTTAAAATTCCATCAGCACCATTTAGTTTCCAATTAAACTCCACCTAGTCAGGGTTCATAGCCACATTTTAGTTAAAAAAATAAGCACTTATAAGCACTTATCAAGCACATTTTAAACCTTATAAACTGCATAACCTTAATTAGACTTGCAATTTAAAATATGAGCAAGGCAATATTTATAAGAGAATGAGCATTACCTCAACCATGGAAAAACAAAATTTTTTTTTTTTTTTTTTAAATTTTAAATGACAGTTTCAATTTACAGAATTAGTTTACAATGAGAGAAAAAAAAAAAAAAAACTATGCAGAACTAAACTATATTACAAGATTTAATGATGAAATTTTCAGTTCAAAATATAGAAAATAAATAATAATAAGCCATATTAATTGTATTCGCTTGGCACCTAATAATAAAACAATTATTTTTCCACTCATATTATTATTAAATAATTAACTTAAAATCAAAATTCTGAACATTTTCTAAATTTTCATTGGCATACATTTTCCCTTAACATATTTAACTTTAAAATCATCCAAATTCTGAACATTTTCTAAATTTTCATTGTATAACAGTTTTCCCTTAACATATATTCCAAGCAAAGTAATTTAAGTAAAAAAGAGGAACATTTCTGAAATCAGGAGATAAGAAATTGCTTCATGCAGTCATCCTTTAACAGTAAAAGCTTAACTAACCCGCATACTCTGAAATTGCCGAATATTTCATATAGTCGAGCGTAACTGGAAAAAGAGGAAGGGGGGAGATTGTAGCCGTTCTTTAGATTTCTCGGCTAAATAAATGATTTTGACATTTTGATATGTGCATCATATAAAAATAGACCAACGGAAACTGAGAAATATTCTGCTTAGAAAGAACAGTAAAACTCTTTTAAGTGTTCATAAAATAAATCTCAGACTGAACATCAAAATTAATTATCTCTGCAAAATACCGCAAACGTTATGTGCAATACGTGCGGCGTAATTCTTCCCATACATGATATTACGCAATCGGAATCAACAGCTGCCGGTATTCGGAGAATAAAATAGAAAAGAAAAATAAAGGAAAAGAAGAAACTACTAATCTGGGGTGTTTTTGATTCTAATTTTGAACAGACCCTTAAATTTCCGAAATAGAATCATTCTTCGCTTGGGTTGGGTAGACCGCAAAACTGTTAGTCCTATTCAATCCAGATTGGACAGTGAAAAAAAAAAAAAAAAAGTCCGCGGCTTCAATATTACAGATTTTGCGGAGAAAGGGGAGAACCTCCCAACCTCCGTACTGTATAATGTATTGGCAAAAAAGAAAAGAAATTATTCTGACTATTCGATTACTTTCCTTTTATTTAAGCCATTCCGAATATTATTCCTTAGAAAGCTAATCTGTGTAAAAATAAAATCATTTTTGGAACATTATCAACACTTCAGCAGCTACTGCAACTATATTATTATGAATATTCATACATATGCTCATAATATAAGCATAACGATCATAATAAACACAAATATGAACTGACCACGCGGAACGAGAATGCAAATTATTAAAATCTTGATAGAAATTCAAACGTGTGTAGTATTTGGGTGGGAGGAAAAAGAATACCGAATGTACTGGAATTTTCTACGGTTTTCGCAATTCTTTGACCAATAGAACGACATGTACCTGTCCGTACTCTCGCGCGCACCATAGGTTATGTTAATGCAGAGAAAGGGGAAAAAGCTATTTCCGGGAGTATGATTCACCATCTGACGTTCCATATAAGGAAGGAAAGTTGTTTATTTAGTTTCGGCTTTGGTAGGGGGAAGAAAAAATGCGTGTTCATTAAAAAAAAGCATAAAGCAAAAAAATAAGTGCTATAAAACAAAAAAAAATAGGGCTTTAAAGAAAAAGTAAGCACCTATAAGGGCCTTTATATTTTATTTTCAAATATAAGGACTTATAAGCACTTCTAAAGACTGCTACGAACCCTGCTAGTGGTGTCAATCCACTAGGTGTCAATCCTTGACTTTATCCAAGTTTATATCAGTAGCTATTTTATAATTTATACAGAGCCTTTTATCATAACTTTAGATGCATCTAAAGTTATGATCTAAAGTTATATCTTTAGATCCAATGCATTCAGTGGCAGGTTGTGCTCCGGTAAAAAGTTAGAGAACAGTCATTCTGTTCTCTAACTTTTTATTCATTTCAGTCCTTTGTTCCCAAGAAAGTTTAATTTTTTTCAATAAAACTTACTTGGTCTTTGTGTTTTTGTGCATGCACATGTTTAATAATACATCAGCCTTTCCACTGTTTAAAATTGAAAAATCACAATGACAAACATTACATGTATTTTATTTCTTTGACAAAATAATAGCAGGAAAGTCACCTATGTACTATTTTTTACCAGTACCTGAGTATTTTACCTTTTTTGCAGACTTAACTAAGGTAAAAGATCATAAGTTCTTAAACTTTTTCTCGAAAGCATGTGAAATTCACAACATTCAACAGCGAGAAGAATGAAATAATCTCGATTTTGCCTTGTGTTTATTGCTTAATGTAAGCCAGATGATGCCCCCCCCCACTGGTGCTTGATGCTCATAGGAGAACTGGAACATGATGCTTTAGAGCACGTGCTCTCACACGCAAAGAAGAAATGTGCCATAATGTCTCACTGATGAAACGACTTTGCTTTCTTTTATGTGTACTCTAGGAAAAAAAAAAAAAAAAAAAAAAAAAAAAAAAATTCAAATGCTTTCCGATGCCTAAAATAATTTGTTCAGATGCAAATAATAAAGTATTAAGCCAAGCTACATAAAATTCACGAAAAATTTTAGTCAGGAGAAATATTGTAAATCAAGTTGGCGGGAGTACAGTCGGAAATCAGGAGTCTCCCTCCTAAATCAGGAGAGTTTGTAATTCTGTGATTGCTAATGAATTCATTTTTTGATTCACCAACTATAATTTTATTTCTCAGAATAGAGATCTTTAGTGATAAATATAAAGCTTCAAAACTGAATATGACTAAAATTTAGATATTATATCAGTTATGATAAATTAACTTCAAGCAAAATAAATATGTGAAAGTATACTAACCCAGTTAAATGCTGATAACAATTACTGCATGTTAATTTCTGTTTTCTAGCATCATTGTCTGAAGGGATTTCTCTCCTTTTGCAACATTTTTGACAAAAAGCAAAACCACAAACTTCACAGCCTACCTGTAAATTAAATTTAAAAGTTCATATTTTAAAAATCATGAAAAAATTGGGTTAAAATAAATAACATTTTAAATTTAAATTTAATTAGAAATAATTTTCTTTCCTTACAGGTTAATGTATCGACTTGGCTATAAAAATAATCTAAAAAATACTGATATTACTGCTATCTAAATAATAAAAACCAGTTGAGCAGAAAAGTTGAGGAGTTTGCCTACTTTTCTTCATATTCTACACAAAATAATTGCAATTCAAAGATATCTTTATTCTTATAAAAATTTATATAAATTGTTTGACTTTAGAGGATAAATCAAAACTTGGTTTTGAATAAAGTTAAAAAAAATTCATGAAAACTGAAATGAATATGATTAAACCAATTGCAGACAGCTGCCACATATACATGACAGATGATCCACAAATTTCAATTAAGCAGAACAATTGTTATTAAAAGGAACAGTAGTAAAAGGTCATTTTTAATATTAATATAACTGAAAACTACACGATTTTAATTTGAGTGGTACAGTAGGCATTTTAATTCCCCCCAAAATAAAGCACAAATTCTGATTTACTAAAAAATAATGCATTCTAGTTACCTATAAAATCCAGTAACAGTTTTAAGTAATTTCACTATTTGCAAAATTATCATAGGTAAGCAGAAGAGAAATAATTTGACAGTCTTGCAGATTTCTTTGCTCCTAAAGAAGAGAGACCTGCAACTGTTTGCCTTCAAAATTGATTGAGATCATGACTTTAATCTACACAAAACTCAAGGTTGTTATGTTACTAATTTTATCACACGTAGTTTTCTAAAACTGGAATCGAATGTTTTTATATAATCTCTGAGTGATATATAATTGTCCATTAATAAAAAAAATGGTACTTTTCCATTTTGCCGGCGCAAGGGATAAAGTCCCCCCATAGTACAACCGATGATAAACGGAATTTCCTCACTGGTACACTTTTTATGCCTCATTTTCAAAACAAGTCGCAGTCATTTCTTATCAGATTGATCCTTTCAATACTGGCATACAATACCAGATAATTTTATACCCTAAGGCCATTTGCGGTAATTAGGATGCAACCATACCGCTCACCCGAAGCGAAAATATAGAAAAGGCGAGGCTTAAATTCATCAATACTAATGAGAATGCACTAGTGAAGTAAAGTACTGTGGTTTCACATAATTTTAGAGCAAGCTATTCGTACGAAATGAAATAATTCTTGCATTTAAACTCGCATTCCAAATTAAGATTTAACTTCAAATTAATGTAGATAATTACTGAGAGAATTAGATTTTTGTAGCATAGTTTACGTTAGATGAGATCACTTGGGGTCATGTGATATGAAACGGTGATTCAGGATGTTGTACCATGAAAGCACAGTAAATTCTTAAATTAATGTCTTTTTACAAATTTATTGTCTTTATTTATCTTTTTTTTTACAAAATTTTAAACGATATTAAAATGTTTATGCCTTCAAAATAAAAACTTCTTAGAACTAACATTTGTTAAAATATTTTATGTGTATACTGTGTGTTGTTGCTAATAAAGTCTGCTTGGCGAGATTTGCACAGGAGAAACAGAAAAGTACCAAAAAAATTTCTTATTATTGTCTAAGTCTCCAGTCTGACACATATATGTCAATGCTGTTGACAGACCCACATAATTTCTGGATAGTAATAACCTTCAAACGATATCTGTCAAAATTTCATGACATTCTGATAATTAGTCTATATAGGTTATAGTGACCCCAGTTTTGTAATTTTCAAAATAATGGATAAAAAAAAGAATTTTGTGTATTGATTAAACATTTTTTTTTTTTTTTTATGGTGAAAAATACTGTTGAAGACAAACAGTGGCTTGATAAGTGTTACGGAGACTCTGCACTGGGGAAATCAACTATTATTGACTGGTATGCTGAATTTAAGTAAGAAGGTAGTGTGTTTATAATTTTTCATGAAAATTTGAGCATGCTTTCAAAGTTTGTACACACCAGATTAAAAACAACAACACTTTGACAATTCAGAGTGCTGTTTGGAGGTCTTCAAGTGAGATAAAAAGGATTTCTTGTATTAGTATGTGATAATGGATGAAACATGGATTCCCCTACTGCACATCTGAATCAAAAAGATCATCAGCTGAGTGGACATCAGCCGGTGAAAGTCGTCCTAAGTGACCAAAAATTCAAAAGTTAGCCCGCAAAGGTTACGGCCTCTGTATTTTGTTCATTGACTATCTTCAGAAGGATAAAACTATCAATAATGAATATTACATAGCTTTGTTGGATCAAATGAGCACAGAAAATCAAGAAAAAAATGGCCTCACATGGAAAAGAAAAAAGTACGTTTCATTAAGACAATGCTTCATATCACAAGTCGATGAAAACAATGGTTAAATTGAATAAATTACATTTCAAATAACTTCCGCACCCACCGTACTCTCCAGATCTCTTCCCCAGTGACTGTTAGCATTTTGTACACATCTAAAAGGCACTCCAATGAAAGACAATTTGCTCAATTAAAGAAGTGATTGCTGAAATTGAGGCCTATTTTGACAGCAAAGACAAATTGTTCTACAAAAAAGGCATAAAAAAGTTAGAGAAGTGTTAGAACGAATGTATCACTTTTGAAAGAGAGTATGTTGAAAAATAAAGTCAAATTTCTGAAAAAACGAATTTGTTTTTCTTTGCCAGATTGGAGATTTATTGAGTTATGTGAGACATGAGTATCAATTCAGGGAACGGACTGCAGTACAAATCATTCAGTTAAAGAATAAGGAATGGTGAATGAAAAGCACAGCAAAATGGGAAAAAAAAAAAAAAAAAAAAAAAAAAAAAAAAAAACACTTTTGCTTCTTTCACAAAAGAGGTCCCCCACCCAGGGGTTGACGCAGAGAATTATGTCAAGCTACTACCTAGGCAGTCTCGGCCAATAAAATTCATGAGCTTGGCAGTTCCAGAACCCCAAACAAGGTCGTTTTATATGGCTGGACTACGAGGGGGATTGGCAAAGACCACAGCTCTGTGAGGAGAGGGGTAATAACTGTACTCCGCCAGGCGGTTGGCCCACTAAAGGGTGTCCCCTCGGTGAGGAGAGAGGTAATAACTCTGTACTCCGTCTGGTGTAATTGGCCCACAGGAATATGAGTCCGTGCCCGTGTAGTATGGGCAGGTAGCATATCTGACGACCAGTCAAATCTCCAAGCATGCATGTTTCCACTTGCTGCAAAACTCGGGAACTGGCAGTGGTAATCACGTGTGCTCGGTAGGTAGCAGTTGGTAAATGAGAGTGTTCTTAAAAGTCTGCTATCTTGGTAGTGAGGGAGCCGGGGCAGTAGCAAGTGAATGTTCTTAATCCTCTCTTTGGGGAAAACTACTGACTGGTTACCCATCTCCTGCCTAATACAGAGGTTTCACTCTGTGTCGTGCCATAATCAATAGTATTGGTGGTACACATATCAGAAGAGAACTTTAAAAACAGGGAAAATTTTTAAATAATTTTTTGGTACTTACATATTAGCACAACCACCCTGGGACAATTTCATGATTTTTTAGAGATGAAAAGTAAAAGTTACTTATAGGTATAAATTGGTAGTTTTTGCAACTTTTTTTTAATAAAGATTCCCAACTATCAATAGTTGACAAACATTATTAGTAAGTCTACAAACATTATGAACATATGAAAAGAAAACATGCTTTAACAATGTAAAATAGAGATTTTAATTATTAAATAAGTATGACATGATGCATTAAAAAAATTCCTCTCAAAATCTTTTTGTAATTTTTTTTTTTTTTTTTTTTTTTGTGCTAATCTTCTACCTAAGTACACAGTTTCATTAAAAAAGAATCAGAGAATTTCAAAAACTCAGTAATAAAGGTTATATAACAAATGCATCTTCTCACTATTTCCTTTAGAACTTTTGTGTAAAATTCTGCATTCCAACAGAAATCTTCCTGAAGTTTCTTCAATTGCTGGTAAATATTTTAAAATTAAGTTTAAGGGGGAAAAGAAGATGATTTGTTTATAAAAACTGTTGGAACAAGGAATACAATAACAACAACAACAACAAAACAAACAAACATAACAAAAAAAAAAAAAAAAAAAAAAAGAAAATTAGGATGTTGCCAAACTGGCAGAATTTTGCTAAATTGTTTCTAACTTTTATGTCAAAGATATCAAATCACAAAATGCAAGATAGACAATTTTAACAGAGCTACTTATTTAATGTAACCTGTAGTTAATAATAATACATGACATTTAGAATAAATATTTATGTAATTTACAAAAACTTTTATATTTCAACCCTGGTGTTTATGAAAGTCTATTTTTATAGTTTCATTCATCAGTAAACCATAACAAATAAATTTAAACATACGACTCAAACATTGCGATTTTTAGTACAGTAATGTCCTGACATTACACAATAAATGAGACCAACACAAACCACTTAAGTTGGGATTCTAACCTTCCATATGAATCTTAGTTAATGGGATCAAGGACTAGAAAAATATATAATAAAGGATGTAGTTTTCATATATAGCTATGCAAAATAATATTAAAATGCACATGCTGCATAAAATGGAATTATTTTGACACCAATGGCTATTTAAAATTTAACAAACTCGTCTGATAATTCAAAACTTTTTTAATTATGTAAAATTTCTTTACAGCGAGTCCCCCCCCCGTATTAGCTAGAACATATTTCTCATTATAGTTTATGTTCTCAAAAATTTCCAACACATCTGCAATTAAACCAAGACCTGTTGAAGCTCAGTCATCAAATCCTTTTCTGGTGGATCTGGGTCTGAGTTACTGTTTTTTCAGCAGTGATTTGCTCATACATCTCTGTTAGCTTATCAGTTTGTTAGCTCTTTATTATGCGAATTGGAACAGCTTGCTGACATCATCATTATTATCTTCCTATTCTGTCTGGAAAAATTGATCACTTCCATTATATTAGTGATCTCATCAGTTTCTGACGCTGGTTTAATTTGTCTTTTATAAAAGAAAGGAAAATTTTCTTCTAGACATTAAGTTTTTTTCCTTTTTTTATCAATCTTATTCCAAGGTTCTCTAATGATTCTTAAAGCATTTAAAACATTGAATTTTGTACAGAAGTTAAAATAAGGAACAGTGTAGTCTTAATAAGTTATATAGTTACCTCCTTTTTCAGGAATCCAAATTTTGCACTGCAACTGTAACAAGACATTCCAAGCTGGAAATACAGATCTGAATTAAAACTTGCATTAAAATATATTTCAATGAAAAGTATTTAAACCTAATTACTGAATGCAAATACTATGTCGCTAAGCCTGTTCTTGCAATTCATATATTATAATTCAGGATCATTAAAACTAAAACAAATTGTAACAAGATGAAACACAGGATTACACATGAAATAAATAAATGACACTTGCAGAAAACAGTGATATGTCTATGCTTTTTCATATATAGAAAGATATATTTTTCATATATCTTTGATACAACCAAAATTTAATCTATAACAAAAGCAAATAAAAATATTCAGTTAAACTAGTATGAGCATTTCTGTGTCATTTTAATTTGTTTACTTTCACTGACTGAACAACTGCTCATTTTATAAAATATAGATATGTTACAGCTAAATCCAGAAGTCTAGCCAGTTAGCAAAACTGGCCAAGAGATGTGGTCAGAGTCCAATTATTAGAAATGACTAGCGCTTTTCATATTTTGATCAGCCATTCTGCAAAGTGACTAGGGATGCCTAGCCAAAATTCATTATGCTGACATAAACCAGTTTGGCAGACAGCACATCTATCTTTTCTTTGACACTGACATTCATGTAGTAACAAAGGTGCCACTATATGATAATATTCTGTTCATCTGCTAGATTTAGAAGATATCATCCTTCTGTGAAATACTCTTCTTATCTTGATATACATTTTTCACTGCAGTATTCTTCAAATTTGCATAATATAGTACCTAAAATCTTTGAAGAGGGCTTTTCTATAACTTTTAATCTTTGAAGAGGGCTTTTTTTATATATCTTTTTTTTTTTAGTTACAGATGAAGACCTTGAGAAAAATTGAACAAGAAATGCAAGATGTTATAAATAAGTGACCATGTCTCAAAATGATACTGTTATCACGGCAGTAGAAGCATCAGAAAATCTAGACTAGTTACTTTACAGTAACAATGCAAAAGGATTATGTACAATGCATTGAAAAGAGTTTAATTCAGCCCATTTTTGTGGACCCTGTGGCAAACATGCAATTTCTGGTACAAGTAATGAAGCAGACAAAGGATACGAAAAGGAAAATACTTGTAGGCACTGTCATAATAAATAAGAGCTCAAGATACTAGAATATTTAAAAGCTCACAAGCAAAATTCCAGCCAACAAAAATTGATGAAAATGCCTACAGCCCTATACTAAATATTGGGGCTGATCAAGAATCATTCTGGCAGTTGTCATGAACGTTGAGACCATTTTTCACATGTTAGGAACAAAACATGGTGTCCTCTGACAACTGTATTCTAGATGCAAGTTTTCTATTTTCCATGAGAAATTTCCCTAATTGAAAGCTTTGTGTGCTGAATAAAAACACTAAACAACCAACAACCACCCCGTCTTCCCAATCCCTGACGAACAATTAACACTACACTCAATGCAACTACATTACTAAGTGCACCAACAGTTTGTTGTCAACGTAAAAATAAGAACTGGTACAATGCCATTATGGAGACCATATCTGCAAAAGAGCCAATTCTAGTAAATATCGTATATACCCATGTATAAGTCGATGATTTTAAGTAAAAAATCAAACTTCGATGTAGGAGGTCGACTAATACGCAGAACCTAAAAAAAAAAAGATCCGCCAACAACGACACATTAGATGACCTTGATTATTAAATATATCGTTCATACAACGCGATTGAAAGAGGAGTGGACCCCAACCTAAGGTGAGCTTAAGTGCTACCGAACAGGGTAATTGCCCCCCCCCCAATATCATTCATACAGAAAAAACACAAAACTTTTATTTATTCTTTCCATTTTATAAGCAATAAGTTGCCTCCCATGATTATTTTCAAGCGAAAAACATTACCAAAAAAGACAGCATTTTCCAGCAGGGTTCTTGTTCACACCCACAAAAATGGTTGGATGGATGACACCCTAACGACCAATTGGTTTCAAAATGTATTGTGCAAAAAACCAGATGCAATTTTATGGAAACCTTTGCTTTTGATTTGGGATATGTTTCGACCACATCGTTCAGCAGTTCTAAAAAAGCACGGAGAAAGTTCAAAAACACCAGTTTTTGTGATCCTAGGAGGGCTGACATCCATTTTACAACCACTGGATATTAGCATAAATAAACCGTTCAAGGTGAATATGTGCAAATATTGGGCAGAATGGATACAATCTAATTTGCCTATTAAAACCAAAGGCGGCAATATTAGAAAGCCGGATATAACTTTAATTGCACGGTGGGTGAAAGATGCTTGGGACATGATTACAGCTGAAATGATAATTTAATCATTCGAAAAGTGTTTCATTTCCAATAACTTGGATGGCACAGAAGATGATGCAATCTATCCAAGTGATGATAAACACTAGCTGCGATGAATCGAGTAATGAAATTTATGGCGATTCACTAATGATTGAAAAAGAATTTCAGGACTTATTTGCAGATTCTAACTTTGAATCAGAATTTGAAGGATTTGAAATTCTTTGAAAACTGTGTGAATATTTTAAAATTTTATCATATGCTACAAAGGAAATAAACAAAAATTCACTAGAGTGTAATTTTATAAAGTACATCAGCATGCTGTTTAATCAGCGGTGCGGGTGCTACTCATGCCACAAATTTGTTTTTCCGAAAATCTTTCTCAAAAGTCAAGATTATACTTATATGCAGGGTCGACTTATAAGCGGGTATATATGGTAATACTTTCAGAAAGTTATTTATTATCATGCTTCCTTCTTTGCATTAGAATTACCATAATTATTTTGGGCATCATTGACATCAACAATAGTTTGGGAATTTTTAGTTGTCCCAATAATGGAACTGTACCTAAAAAACCATTGCACGCTTAAAAATGTCATTAGTTCACCCATTTGTAACAAGTATTGATAATAAATAAAGAATCTATAAATTAATTTAATAGCATACCCTTTTTCCTTTCAACTTCTGCTGATCACCGCATGCTATTTTATGAACTGACTGACCAAAGATCAAAATAATAAAAAATTGGTGGCTGGTCAATCTACAGTGCCACTTGCAACAGGCAGAATGAGGCTCTATCCATAAACTGGCCGATTTTGGGCTTTGCACATTACTACACCAGAATCTATCCAACAGTCTTTTATGTTGCCTTATTATGTACAAAACAAAGATTTACTTGATTGTTAGAAAAAGCTAAATCATAACAATAAGAATGTGCATAACAGTAAATGGAATTCAAAAGAAGACATAAAGGCTTTTATGTAGGTTGGGGCAAAAGTCATGGCAACTATTTTTTTTCTTGAAGATACCAGTCCGGTTGGAAAATGTGACATATTATACAGATGAACAGGCAAGGTCTTAACTACATGTGTGGACAATGAATAGCACTGAAATATCGTAACACAAATTTATTACGGTAGTATACAGGGCAATATGGCCTTCACCGTGCAAAAGAATGATAACACAATACACATAAAGTTGACATGACAAACCTGGGCCTAAAGACCCTCAATGTAGTCCCCTGCTACTGTCACCACACGCTGCCAACGATGTGGGAGGCGCTGAATACCATCAGCCTCAGCATTTGCCGCACCATGTGTGAATCGGGTCATCTGTTGGCGCACAGCATTAGCAATGTCCTCTTGTGTTGCAAACCGCCTACCACGTATTGGTTCCTTAATCTTGGGAATGAGATCAAAGTCACAGCACACAGGTCACAGGGGGAAAGGTCACAGGGCGAAAGGTCAGGAGAGTACGGTTTTGGGTGCTCCAATTCTTCCCATCCCCAACGTCGGAGTAGCTGCCGTACACACTCTGCTTTATGTGGTCTTGCATTGTCGTGCAGAATTATTGCACTGTCCACAAGATCCGGACGTTTATCCCGAACGCCACGTCGTACCTGTCGCACCAGGAAGTCCCTGTAGTACTGTGCGGTCACTGTTCTGCCATGAGGAACAAAGTGGCAAACAATGACACCCCTGACGTCATACGCGACGATCACCATCAATTTGACTGGGGAAGGATTCTGACGGACCTTCTGCTGCCTTGGTGATCCAGGATGTCGCCACTCCGCGGACTGACGTTTCAGTTCTGGTTCGTATGCCCTGGCCCAAAATTCATCGATTATTCGTGATAAGAATTGATTGCCGTTCTGTTGCCAGCGTGCAAAGTGGTCGGAGTATATTGCATAGCGCAGCCACCTTTAAACTTCCGTCAGTGCATGCCGTACCCACCGCGATGCAATTTTGCGTAGCTGTAGCTCATTACGCAATATCCTGTGGACGGTGCGTTTCTCGATGCCACTTGTCATGACCGTAATAACTCTAACTCCAGTAACTAACCCTCTCTAACTCCAGTAACATCCATCGTATGTCTTCATCCATGAGGTGCTCGATGACAGCGCATGTCAAGTCGGTCCGGACACTCATCGGTCGTCCCGAACGTTGCTCATCACTGGGTGACACACATCCTTGCTGAAACTTTCCTACCCAGAGTGCCACTATACGATATGGTAGGGCATTATTCCCAAGGGCTTCTACTAATTCACTGTGACATTCCATCACATTTTTCCCTCGGAGAACGGCTATTTTGATGTAAGTGCGCTGTTCAACACGGGTTACATCCATCTCCCACAACACTCACCAACTGACTGATTTCAGAGCCCTTGCTATCACAGAGCCATCTGTTGTTCTGCATACACACTATGCTTGCAGAACTTCCACATGACACATATACAGTTTGTGATCCGTTCACATATCTACAAGAAGAAAATAGTTGCCATGACTTTTGCCCCAACCCTCGTACGATTCAAGTTTTTATTCAAGAAAAGGAGAATGGAATATTGGGTTGGTAACTAAATGATTGTGGATTTTGTTGACAGATAATTAGCATATTATTTTACTTTGTAAACATGTTCAAAGTACCTGAACTATATTATTTTCTTGTCATTTAAACTTCCACTTTTAATTAGTAAGAAACCTGAATGCAAACATGTTCAAAGTACCTGAACTA